TAACTCTTTCTACTGATTGTACATATAGCATAAAAACTAGTTCTTCCTTGTGGAGAATGATGGCTAAAAAATAAGCAAAGGATATTAAATATTTCTTAGAATTTCGCCCAGGCACAGTGACTCACCCCTGTAATCCCAGCACTTTGGGAGGCCAAGGAGGAGGAATGGGACACTGACTCAAAAACAAAAAGATTTCTTAGACTTTTAAATCTGTTATCAGAAGTGTATTTTGGCATAGGGATAGCCTTGCTATTGAACACTTGAACACTTCTTATGCATGTAACAGTTAAATAAATAACAGAATTACCAGATTTGGTGAGACCATGAACTGTTTTAGTGTTTTGTCTTTAGCAAGCAGTATTCATTATGATGCATTACTGTAATAGGGGGAGCTCCCAAATTATCAGTTCATATATTTGGTCTTACTGATGAACATTTCTTGATGAGCAACCTATATCTACAGTGATCTGGGTGGAAATTATGAGCATAATGATGATATTGACCCATTGTGTGATCCTCATATATATTCTGATTCATCAAAGGAAAATTGGCTTTCAGTTGATACATACAACGTGTGTCTTGGTGCTCTGAAAATCAGCAATAAAGGCCAGGCTTGGTGGCTCAGCCTATAATCCCAGTACTTTGGGAGGCCGAGGTGAATGGATTGCCTGAGCCCGCGGGTTCGAGACCCACCTGGGCAACTTGGCAAGACCTCATCTCTACAATAAATCAAAACTTAGCCAGGCGTGGGTGGCACGCACCTGTAGTTCCAGCTACTTAGAAGACTGAGACGGAAGGATCGCCAGAGCCCAACAGGTCGAGGCTGCGGTAGCCGGGAGCGGCCACTGCACTCCAGTCTGAGTGACAGAGTGAGACTCCAACTCAAATAAATAAATAAATAAATAAATAAAAATCAGCAATAAAACTTGATTAATCAGAAGGTCAATTAACCAAAACCTCTCTCATATTTTTTCTAGATGGAAAGAGCTAAGCATTAGATTCATATTATTTGTATTTTAAAATGTATTACTTTTCTTCTTTTTTTCTTTTTTTGAGTCAGTGTCTCAGTCTGTCATCCAGGCTGGAGTGCAGCAGCATGACCATGGCTCACTGCAGCCTTGACCTCCTGGGTTGAGACGATGACAGCTCAGCCTCCTAAGTAGCTGGGACCACAGGAGTTCGCCACCATGCCGGGTTGAATTTTTTTTTTTTTAAGAGACAGGGTCTCACTATGTTGCCTAAGGCTGATCTAGAATTCCTGGACTCATGCAGTCCTCCTGCCTTAACCTCCCAAAGTGCTGAGATTACAGGCATGAACCACCGTGCTGGGCCCTTAGTTTTCATATTTATTAAAGGTAATTAGGTTGTTTAGGCACAAAGTTCCCACAGTTTATATTTTCTGAAGCTTATTCTGTTTTTCATAAATTGGTGATTGTCTCTGCCATTTTATAAAATAAGATGTTTATAAAACTCATTTTAAAAAACATCAAAGATCTTTATATAAACTTCTAATAGATGCCAAATACTTTATGTAAAGATGCATAATTGCTGTTATGGAAATTAAGTCGGTGTCTCTATAAGGCCTTAACTTGAATTCTTAACCCCTTTAAGAAAACCTCTCGAGTTGATGCCTGAGCCCTCACTGAGAAAGAAGCCAGGCTAATCTGTCCTTGATGGGGTCCCGTTGATTATCTGAGATGAAGAAAACTCGTGATGACCACTTCACTTAGTGCTTATAGGAAGCTTTATTTTTGCTAATATTCCTTGACTTACTACTTCTAAAAGATACAGCTTCTCACTGTTTGTAATCTAAGCTCCCCATTCCTACAAAAGGATAAAATGGAATTTACTGGCATTACTTCATTTTGAATCAGAAAGCCAGGGTTCTTTAGTGTGGAAGACATTTTGACCCCATTACATAAATGAACTCCTTTGTGCTTTATAATACCATTGTCTTATGATCACTGAAGAAATGTGGATGGTACTGCATTAATGCAGGGCCTAACAAGATGACTAGTCTATATTGGCTTTTAGTTTAATTTTAAAATTATTTTAAGTTAAAACGTAAATGACTGCCATAAAATAGAAAAGATTAAGTTATTTTGTTCTTCAGAGTTTTCTTTATAAATGTCTTTTTTAACAAAGAAATTATTTTTATTATGTGTGTCGTATAGGAGATATTTTTGTTGCTCTTGTATGTAATGCGCTTTATATTAACTTTCACAGGCAATGTGGGAACACACCCTTTTATCCCTATGTTGTGTAAGTTGGTTGTCATGACATGACTCATAATTACAACCATGAGCCACAAAGTGAGAGTCTGTTACTGTGGATAGAGTTGTGTTCCCTCACTTCCCTGCAGAACATCAACTACAAAAACAGAAAATCTGTTCAATATCATTAGCCTGATAATACTAATCTTCTACATATGTCTAACTGTTTTCATTTATATCAATTCTGCCTCATCTCTAAAAGAATTCAGGGCTACTTCATGATGATAAACCATCACTTAGAGGGACTTACGTTATATATATTTTTAAAATGTTGTGTTTGAACTTTGTGAAGCTGACAGATGAATTCACATGTTTAAATAGTGCTGAGAGAATGGCGTGGTCAAAAGGACATTACTTGGGAGTCTGGCGAGTATGTTTTTATTTCATTGCTTCCTGACTTGTGGTATAGACTCAGTGTGTCACCTGTTTCTCTACCTTAGTTTCCTAATTTGTGATCCCTAAGATTTCTAAATGGTAGGAGGAGCAGTTAGAACAAGATTCCTGTTCCTGCGAAGAGCAAGCTTCAGAGAATGTGGAGGATGGGAGCTGGGGAAGGGGAGAATCTGGGAATGGACTCCCCAGGAGGGCCCGTGTGCAGGGGGGTGCATCAGGGGGCTGAGTGCCAGCCCCCGAGGGAGTGCTCTTTTGTAATTCAGGAGCTTTACTGTGCTAGTTGCTGCCCTGTCTACCAGGTTTGGCTCTGCTCCCAGGCTGGAGTGCAGTGACTCACTCAGCCTCGA